TGAGGCGTGGCCTCTGACAAAGAGAGGGAAGGGCGCGCAGAAGTGGTTGCTAGCGTGATGAAGCTGGTGAGGCGTTAATGAGGGCCCCAGGACACACAAATCCGCCGACCCTGTCGGCGTGTGGAAGAGGTTTCTCCGTCTGTTCCTTCCTCGGCGAAATTGAGCAACGTCGTAATTGGGTCGAAGGGAAGCCCCTTCCCTTTGATCCCTTCCCCGCCGGGGGGGGGGGGGGTCCCGGGGTGGGTCCCGGCGGGGGTCCCAGGTTTTTACGCCGCCCCCCGGGGTGGGTCCCGGGGGGGGTCCCGGGTTTTTACGCCGCCCCCCCGGGGAATCCCGGAGCCCAAAAAAGTACCAAGACGGACCAAGAGTGCTCAGAGAGGCCACCAAGACGACCCAAGAGGGCGCCGAATCGCCGAATGATCTGTCCAAGACTCCAGACAGCCCAAGAGGCCTGCGAGACGCCCCAAGAGGCCTCCAGGACCGTTCCCACGAAAGCCCCAATAGGTACAAATCATGGATTTCCCATACGTTTTTCAAAGATTTTTGGCGTTTTCGCCTCTTTCGCTTCCCCGCGCGCAAAGACGGCCCAAGAGGCTCCTAAGATCGCCCCGACACGGCCCAAGAGGCCTCCGAGAGGGTCGCCAAACGGCCCAAAAGTGCCCCAAGACGGCCCAAGACGCCTCCCAGATTCACAAGAGGCCCCCAAAACGGTTCCAAGAGTGCGCCCAGACGGGGGACCCGAACGGACATTTCGAGCCCTCAGCCCCGAAAAGCTCCCAAGAGGCCCTCCAGGAAGCCCACAGAGGCCCCAAGAGGCTCCCGAGAGGCCCCAGAAACTCTCCTAGGAAGCTACAAAACAAACTAGGAAGTTACAGAACAACCGGGTATTCCCTCCTCTTCGACCTTGTCCTCCTCCTCCGCCTGTTCCTCCTCCTCCCCATCACAGAACGGAGGAGGGACACTTTCCCGAGCGCGGCAAGCGCGCTTTCAACGCCTCCGACGTCCGACAACGCCTCGCAGCCACCGTCCGATCCGCGAGGGCTGGCGCGCCCAGACGACAGGGTCGTCTCCAGGGTCGGCGGCATCGGCCGTAAGGCCTCTTCCCCCCCACTTCCCATATTTTCCAATATTTTCTGGGAAATCGACGATACATTGTGTCTGTGTGTTTTTTCCCCTCCTGAGTTAAGCTAAAACAACTCTGACACGGCGCTGGCGGGCCGAACGTTCGACACTGCCGTCGTGGGGTCTTGGTGCACTCCGGCCTCCCCCGCCGCCCTGATGGCCCCCACCTCCGCACTGCCCAACAAAACAAATCCCGCTGCCGAGAATCAATCCTCCTCGGCAGCGAATGTTGCGAGTTTTTTGTTTGTTTGTTGTTTTTTGTTTTGTTTTTTGCTTAAAAAAGGAATCTGGAGAAGATTGTTAAGATGCGGCTGGTTGGTTAGTTTGCGCCCTTGAAGCACAGGCCTGTTGAAAGTTGGGCATCGCGAGTGGAGACGAGTCGAGACGGAACAGGCGAGCTATGCTATAGACTTGGGCCGCCGTCGGTGGGACAACAAATCCGCAGGCAGCTCGCCTGGTGCCGAACCAAGCCCCGCACAGGGGCTTGGCTTCAGACTCCTGGCGACAGAGAGGACTGCCGCAGGCAAATTGGGCATCGGTGATAGTGAAGCGAAGCAAGACGGACCAGGCGAGCTTCGATCTCGAACTAGGCCGCCGTCGGGGGCCAAAAGGAGGGAAGGACGCGCAGATGCGTTTGCAAGCATGATGAAACTGGTGGGGAGGGAGTCAAGCTGAAGCTAGCTTGAATGCGACGCTGGCAGGCCTAACGTGCATTATTGCCCTCATGGGGTCTTGGAGCACTCCTGTCTCCGTCCCCGCCCTGAACGCCCACCCCTTGCCGCCGCCTCCTCCTGGTCGCTAGAGGCGCGCGGTGAGACAGGCTCAGGGCTGGCGGCCGTGTGCGGCTTGGGCCCATCAAAGGCCCTGGGGTTTGGCGGTTCATCCCGCACCTCCCGACGTCCCGTGTCGGTGTTGGTGCTGTTGTTGGTGTTGTTGTTCTTCTTCTTCTTCTTCTTCCTCATCTTCTTCTTCTTCTTTCTTCTTCTTTTCAGGTTCAGCACCGCAGCCGTCTGTAGCGTGTGGCGCGAACGAAGGCGGTAGCATAGCCGAAATGAGGAGAGAAGAGGAAGGGGGGGATGGCGGCCGTTGCGGTGGCAGGCAATGGTTAGCTCGGCTTGCGCTTGGCGGTGGAAGGACGCTGCGGTGGGCGGGCAGGCGGCTGGTTGGCAGCTTTTGCAGTCGAAGCCCTCCTCCTGATCCCAGCCCGTGCCCGATTCCCACTTCCACCCAGATTGCTCTTCGAAAAAGAGATGGGGTGGGAGGGGCGAGGAGAGAAATCAGGGGCAGGGCAGCGGAAGAGCGGCGGGCAGGCAGGGAAGGGGAGGTTGGGAGGGCGCCTCGAAGGTCAGACCCCGAGCCTCCAGCCATTGACTTAGATAAGGGGCGACTCACCACCTTGGCGCCCAGGGTCTGGAAAACGTTCCTCTAGGTCCTCTTCAAAGATCTGACATGGTCTGCGGATGGATGTTGGTCGTCCCTGTGGCGGGGTGGCCATTGTGAAGGTGCGCCCGTCTGAAGCGGCGGTGGGCAGCGAGCTCGCTGCTGGCGATTTCAATGCACGGTTGCTCGAGGTCCGCCCCGAGCGCTTCGTAGACGGCCTGGGCTCCGCGAGCCTGGACTTTGCGTCTCCGCTGAGCGGCGGCCGCGTCCCAAGCAGCAGCTGGCGTTGTGCTGGGAGCTGGTGGTTGTGCTGATGATGGTGTTGTCGAGGCTGTGGCCAGCGTCACCGCCGCCGGCGCCACCGCCCTCATTGCCACTGCCTCCCTGGTCGCCGCCGCCGCCACCGCCCCCGCCGCTTTCTCCAGACCCTTCTTCTCCATGAGGTCCAAGGCCTCCTCCACGACGGCGTCCTCTCCCTTCTCCTCCTCCCTGGCCTGGACGCGCTCTTGGAATCCGTGATGCTTTTCAAGATGGCGCGGCTGGGGGCTCACATGATCGCGATGCTGCCGAGCTCCGTCGCGCTGTTCGGGTCACCAACGGCCCTCTCGGAGCGCGCGGCAGCGTCTCGCATGGCAACCGCCGCTCCTGCCTGCAGGGGGGCCGACGTGGGGTAGGCGTTGCCGGGCACGATGATGTCCGACATAAGGTTGGGCACGCAGTCGGGCGAATCCGAGTTGAATTGGCGGTCGTGGGAAAGGTGGTGGTCGTCCACGAGGCCGCGCACGTCCCCGATGACGCTGCCGTCGGCGCTGGTCTGGTTGTCGGCGCGGGCGTTGGCCTCGCAGTTGGCCCAGCTGCCATGCGGCCTGGCAGGGCTGTATCCTTTTTCTCTGCGCGTCGTGCTCGCACTGGCCCGCTGGGAGCGGGCCGCTGCCGACGGCCCCGGTGCGGGGAGGACTGAATTGGCGAGACGAGGCCACTGCGCGCTGGTTGCCCCATCGGGAGGCATTCTTGTGGCATCGTGGTCACATCCGTCAAGCTGTCTCGATCGTTGCCGGATCACTCGTGCGGGCGCAGCGGCCGCGCCGCGATGCCCAGCCCAGGCGGCGCGTTGCAGCGCGCACGGGCCTGGGCCTCAATGGGCCGGCCAACTCATTGTGGCTGAACGTCTTGGCTGGCGTGGGGTCGCGGGCGCCGCGGCCACGGGCGCTGCTGCCCTGCGCCATGGCGCAATCTGGCCCAAGTGCAACGCCTAGCCGGCCCCTTCTGGCTGGCCTGGTCTTTTTCCTTCTCCTCCTCCTCCTCCTCCTCTTCTTTTTCTTTTTATTTTTCTTTTTCCTCCTCCTCCTCCTCCTCCTCCTCCTCCTCCTCCTCCTCCCCTATCGTTCTCCGCCTCCTCACCCCCCTCCCCTGCCTCCTCCCCCACTTCCATCTCCTTCCATCTTAGGCAAGCCGCTGGGCGCACACGCCTGTGGCGTTGGCGACCGCCTGCGAGCAAGCGGGACAGGGCAGCCTTGAAGGGGCCCCAGGACACACAAATAAATACAAAATAAACAGATTCCCTATATTTTCCCATGTTTTCTGTGTTACTGTCTTCCCCCCCACTTCCTATTATTTTCTGGGGAATCGAAAATTAATTGTGTCTGTGTGTTTCTTTTCCTCCTGAAGCCTCGAGCACGCCGCACTGGAGCCGCGGGCACCAGGTGCGCCCGAGCGGGAGACGATGGGGTGGCCGGACGGGCCCCAGAAACAAGGGACCCCCCCAGTTCGAAAGGACAATCGAGGACAGCGAGAGCGGCTGCACCGCCAGCCGTCTTGTCTTCCTGCCTTCTCTCGCGCCACGGGCCCTCCCCTTGTCGCACATGCCCCACAAGTTTCCCCTCCCCGCCTGCGCAGAACACGACAAGGGGTCTCTGTGGAGCTCGAGGTCAGCTATGACACGCGTCCGCGGACAGAGAACACCACCAGCGCAACGGCAGAGGATGCGCGGGAGGGATCAGATGCCCGACACTTTGGACGCCCGAAATGGGTACGGAAAGAATGGGTACACTGCTGCCCAACAACAAATGTTGTCCCGAGCCAACAGCGGCCGCTGTTGGGCAGGCGGCCTTCTGTCTCGAATGGACACAGGCCGCGGCGGCGCGGACAGCGAGTCCTGTTCAAAAGGAACAGGAACTGCTTATGTCGGGAGCGGCCAAGAGGGGGGTGTCCAAGAGGGGGGGGTGCAAATCATGACCGGCGGCATGTGCGCGGCCCAGCGGGAGGGCCAGGGACGTAATGAAATAAGAAGAGGCGCCATGAAATCTTGGAAAATATAATGGCCCCCGCCATGATATCCCCCCCACCTAGTCATCACCCCCCTCTTTGCCGCCCCCGATGTTGGGCAGTGTGCCCATTCCTTCCGTACCCATTTCGGGCGTCCAGAGACACGGCGCGGGCGCACCTGGCTCGTCCTCCGGCCTTCCCTCGCTCCCCTCCCCCCTCGGGGCACCGGGCTCCTCCCTCTGCGTGCCGCCGCCGCTCGGCGCCCGCGGGCCACCCGCCGGCGCCGGAGGGCACCTCGGGTTCCCAGCCGGGGCGCTTTTGGGTGCTCCCGCCGTCGCCGCTGCCCACCTCCCCGCTCCTGCCGCCTCTGCTCCGCCTTCCTCCCCCTGCCGCTGCTCTCGGGCCCAGCCCTGCTGAGCGGGCGAGCCCGCGTGCACACCGCAGAAGTGGCCGACGGCAGCACGGGCCGACCCTCCGAGCTGGAGGCACGGGGGGGGGCGCACGGCGCAAGCTGAGGAGGCCGGCGCGACGTCCGCTGCTAGCAGTGCAGGCGGCTGCGTGTCGTCGCGTCAATCTCGCGGGAGGCACGGTCGTTGGCGGCCCGAGCGGCGACGGCCCCAATCCAAGCAATTCCCACGTCATGATCCGGCGGCGAGCCCGGGGGGGAGGTGAGAAGGGCAAGGCCTTCTAAGACGATTCGGAAGTCCCCTGGCCTTCTGAGAAGTTTTGATGTCTTCTCCCCGAAGACACGGGACACGTCTCAGGGGGCGCGAGGGCTTCTTAGAAGTCCCGCCGCCTTCTGAGAAGGACTGCTCCTTCTCATCTTCCCCCCCTCGCTCGCCGCCGAATGACTGCAAGGCTGAAAGCGATGCCTGGGCCAACTCGCCTTGCCAAGCCCTCGGTCGTCTGCCAAGTGCCACCCGCCTCCTTCGTCCTGCTGCCTGCCTCCCTGCCTCGTCTCCTGTTCCGGTCTCCCTCGCTCGCACGGGCCCTTTCTTGCTGCCTGTCGGTGCTGCTTGCTCGGGCCATCGCCGACCACCAGAGTGTCAGCCAGCGTGGGTCCCAAACCATGGCTTCTTGCAGTCTACACGGCGCAACCTAGGTGGTGCAATCAATGTGATGCAGTGTAGGCGGTGCAACCCATGTGGTGCAATCTCTGTGGCGCAAAGCGATCTGACGCACTGCAAAGCACTGCAAAGCAATCTAATTCAACGCACTGCATCACAAAGCAATCCAACGCACTGCAAAGCAATCGAAGCGATACATCTCAATTCAACGCACTGCAAAGCCATCTAATGCAATGCAGCACTACGCACTGCAATGCAAAGCAGTGCAAACCAATACAAACCAGAGCCATGCACAGCGACGAAAAGCAACGCACAGCAATGCAAGACATCGCAATGCAAAGCAATGCGAAGCAGCGACGCGCAGCAAATCAAGGCAATGCAGAGATATGACAAACCATACGAAGCAATTCACAACAATGCAACGCAATGCAAGGCAGTGCAAAGCAAGGCAATGCAAAACAATGCGAAGCAAATCAACGCAATGTAACGCAATTCAACGCAGTGCAACGCATTGCAAAGCAATGCAATATGCAATGTAAAGCTATGCAACGTAAACAACGCGAAGCCATACAACACAACACAAATCAATCCAACACAAGGCAATATGAGGCAATGTAAGCCAATGCGTTGCAATGCTACGCAGCCCAAACCAATGCAAAACGATGCAACGCAATGCAACGCAATGCAACGCATTGCACTGCAAAGCAAAGCAACGCAATGCAAGGTAACGCACAGCAATGCAAAACCATGCAAAGCGATTCAAAGCAATGCACAGAGGCAATGCAATGCAGAACAACGCAGCGCAAATTGGGGTGACGGGCGGCAACGACGGGCGGCCCCAAGCCGGCCGGACCGACACTGGGGCCCAGCTTCTTCAGAAGAGAAGTCAGAACCCCTTCCCAGATCTGTCAGTATACCTGTGGCTTGAAAGCATGCCCCTCTGTCCCCCCCTAATGGGATCGACCTGGCAAGAGCACTCCTTGCAACGCTGAAGCCACTGACTGCCGCGTGCCCGGCAACGGCAACCGCCGCTGCCTTCTGGAACATCGCGATGCTGCCAGCTGCAAAGCTACAGCAGCATGTTGCCTGAACGACACAAACAGCTGCGCTTGGCAGTGTCGCAACTTGAAGCGTGATGTATGTGTGTGCATGTGTGTGTGTGTGTGCGTGGGCAGGTGCGCTGTATTGACTTCCAAAACATCGACACTATGTGACACGTGACTGGCTTTCCGTGTGTGTGTGTGTGTGTGTATGCGCGCACGCCTGCATGCATCATGCGCCACTGTGCCTCCAGGCACGCTGCGGCGTGTTAGAATACCCCTATGCTGCCTGCGAGGATTTTTGGACCCCGCCACGATGCCATCGGCACATACTGTACACCATGACTGATGAAATTGCACGCGTGCTGCGCGATTGCTGGTGCTTGCGAGCGTGCGTACAAAGGAAATTTAACCTGCCCGCGATACATGTTGGACCGTACCGACCACATGTTGCATTACGTTTACCATGCGGTCATACGGAGGGTACTCGACTGCGGAACACATGCGCATCAAGAATGAAGAATGAGGATCAGCAGGGAACCAACATGGGACAACAAGCCTGCATGAGAACGCACGTGGCGAGTCCGCACCAGGCGCGCGGCACGGCACGGCGCGCGGGCGCGGCAACCCTTTTTTCTGCACTCTGAGATCCGAGCGCAGCACGGCACGGCACGCGCACACGGCACGGCATGGGGGGTGCAGGACACGGGACGCGGGCGGCAGTGTGCTTGCAGCCTGGCAGCCGACCACATCATGGCACGCGGGCGCGTCGCGGCACGGCACGGCACGCGGGCACACAGCACGGGGGGCACCAAAACGGAGCAGCGCGGCACGCGGGCGGCAATCTTCCGCCAACTTGCGAACCGGGCACGGCACGGCACGCGGGCACGGCTCGTCGGCGGCACGTTTTTCTCGCACGGCAGAATCAGGACGCCGGGGCTTGTCATGCAGACGTGGCCCCTATCGCATGTGCTGGTCAGGGAAGCGTGTCACATGCAACGCGCCACAACATTATGCAGGACGCCGAATCAACATCGCGGACAACGTATGCAAACACGCTGTACTCTATCTCTGAACAAAGCGAATCAATACGCGGACTCAGTGCAGACCATTTGCAAGAGTCGTTACGGCGGCGCGACCGTGGAACACTACAACACCGTACTGTCATCCGCCAGCGTGGCCCCTGGCACGTCGAGGTGCGGTAGAATGCCAACTGTTGTCTGGCAGGGTGTCTGTAATCCTCTAAGGCCCCACCCCCCTTCCCTGGCCATTGCTCGGACGTCCATTCCCCGTGTTTCTTTCGGTTTCGTGCGTGGTTTTTTCGCCAAATGATCAAGGATGCTCCTCCATGGTCCTCGCCGAAGGAACAATGCACACGTCTGAGCGATGCCAAGCTCCCTTCTGTCGCACACAATCGCGTGCACCACCTCTCTCCCGAGACTGCTCTCCCTATTTTTAATTTTTTTAGAGGAAAACAACGGTTGATCCGCACGCCAGGGGCCAAGATCCCCTGTAAAGAGACGATGGCCACACGCGTTGCTGAAACATACCTCCGCACGGGATGTGAACCACGTCTCCAGGAATTTAGGGAGTACAACTGAGGCTCCAACTCGAAGTGACGATTGGTAAGCCGCAGCGGGAGCCGTGACAGCACAACACATCGAGCGATCACCTCGGGATTCAGCGCTGAGAGATCCTGATGCGCAGCCTCGCGCCTCCCTCTCCCTTTCCTGCTTCCCTCCCCCGCCTCCTCCCTGCCGCCTCCTCCCGCCACCTTCCGCCGACATTCGACGTCGCGGGACAACAACAACAACAACAACAACAACAACGACAACAACAACAACAACAACAACAACAACACCACCACCACCACCACCACCACCACCACCACCAACAACAACAACAACAACACTCATTTTAAGACTATTCGCTCCTCCCATCTGCTCGCGTGCCATTGAACATGCATCTCCCAAGCCGTCGGTACCCGCCCTCTTCGTCTTCGATGTACCCCCTTCGGGGTATATGTTTTGTATCTGCCACGTGCATTTAGCGCAGCTCATGGAACAGGGGGGGAAGGGACGAATGGAAGGGGGAGGGAGAAGGCTGGAGCACGAGAACTTAGCTGGAGGGGTACTGGGAACAAAACACACGTGGCAGAACCAGGCGGACGAATCGGGCGGCCAGACCTGGAAAGCTGGTCGGGAAGGCGGTCCCAAGCGGCCAAATCGGGCAGGCGGGTTGCTGAACCGTGGGTCCTGCATGAATCGCGAGAAAGTCTCGAACGATAGCGCGATTCCCAAAGACATCGCGCGGGCCGTGCGATACGTTGTCAGGAAGTAGCAGGCTGGAGCCGTTGTTTTTGTAACTCGGGGGCCAGGGGGCCAATTTGACCCTCGAGACTTTCTCTGATGAAAAAATAAGTGCGAGCCCGGGGAGTGGCACTTCAATGGGACAAATAAAATGCGCACTGGATGGGGGGTCAACAATACTAATTCTTCAGAAGCGAAAATTCACCAACAGCAGCAGCAGCAACAACGGCAACAACATCATCAGCACTCATTTTAAGACTATTCGCTCTTACTTGCCCGCGAGTCTGTAACTTTGTCTACCCCAGCCCTCAATGCCCGCCCACTTCGTCTTCGATCGCTTTGGGGGGAACATTTTCCTTGTCGGCCACTAGCTGAAGAGCGAAGATATCTCGAGCGAGAACGCCGTTCCTGAGTTCTGGGGTCTTTCTAGCCAAGGCCTCTCTGAATGAACCGTGAGGAAACATCGAGCGGGAAACCATGTAAAAATGGCTGGGCCTCCACCAGGGGCCTCCCTGGCCAGGGCCTCTCTGAGCAAATCGTGACGAAGCATCGAGTGGGAGTCCTTGTCGTCGTAGTTGGACCTTAACCAGCATGAGTAAATTAGGAAAGACTTTCTCGAACGAGACCGCCGTTCCTGAGCTCGGGAGCCTCTCTGGCCAAGTCCTCTGGAAATGCAGATTGAGGAAGTATCGATCGAGAACCCGTGTCGTTGTAGTTGGGCCTCCACCAACTTGATATAATCACGAGCAAACGAGAACGCCGTTCCTGGGTTTAGGGGCCTTCCTGGCCAAGGACTCTCAGAATAAACCGTGAGGACGTATCGAGCAAGAGCCTTGTCGTCGTGGCAGGGCTTCCGCCAACTTGATTAAATTGCGAAGAAATCCCCAGCAAGAACGCAATTCCTGAATTCGGGAGCCTTCCTTGCCAAAAACTGTCGGAGTGAGCCGTGAGGAAGTATCAAGCGGAGCCCGCGCTCGAATGGGAGCCTCGTTCTCAGAGGAGTGAATCGCGGGAAGCCCCGAGCGATAGCGCGATTCCCAAAAACATCGTAAGGTAAACCACAGCGAGAGCGTGATTCCTGAGTGTCGAGGGCGCGGAATCTGAATCTATTGCGAGGAAGATCCACACGAGAGCGCGATTCCGATATAAATTATGAGGACGTCCCGCGCGAGAGTGCAATCTGGGCATACATTGCGAGGAAATATCAGGCGGTAGCCTTTGTTGTT